AACTGTATGAAGAAGATACTATTTTCCTTTTGTCTCATTTTATATAGCTCTAAGGAACAGCAGATACCTCTGCTGGTGGGCCAAGATGTCTGTGGCCTACCTTTCAAATTTCCGTACTGGCATTTATTGTGTTGAGGTTCAAATCCCTTTACAGCTGCGGTCTGAACAAGAAAAGGGCACTTAAGGGAATAAGACTACAACTTGCTCTTCTGAGTTGCATTAAAATCCATTGATTTCCATCTGTTACTTGAACAAAACAGAGTGCATTTTTGATAAAAATAAAACTGCTTATTTTGGAGAATATCCGTTAAATATATTTGATGTTTATGGTCTGCAAATTGGACAGTTCTGGTCTTCTTAGAGTTACTTAATAACTCAAGTAAGAGGAAGTCACTATGCTCAAAAGAGCTGTTTTCACTCTAAGCACAAAAAGCTCTTTCATGACGTCATTAGAAGCACTAGACAGTGTTCCACCTGCAAGGCCACTTGCCCCCTCACCCAGCAAAGCCCCTGCGCTGAAAAGCATCTGTGCAAGTGCTTTGAGTTCAGCATGTTGTCTGAGTACTTTTCTAAACAAATGTCAACAGCTACATCTTTTTACTTGCCAGGCTAATTTCATTGCCCCTTTGCTCCTCTTGCTTCAAAAAGAGGAGAGATCATCACCACTGCAGAAAGCTGAACAGTCAAACTTGCAACTGCTTTTTTACTTTTTTTTTTTTCCTGAGACCTCTGCAACATTCAAACCCCAGGTTTAATACTGTGAGTCAGACACATTGAAGATACCTGCACTTTTACAACACATATGAACTTGTTGGGTCAAACATAATGGCCCAAAAATACAATTCCCAGGTTTCTTTCTTTCCCTGCAACGCCTGCGACCCCAATTTAAGTGGCTGGCTATGGTAGCAGGAGTAGACCACCTGGGATACCTTAGCAGAGATGACATCTTCTACTAGTATGCACTGCACTTTGGTTAGGAGCTTGCTTTTTTGCTGCTGCAGATGGAAAGTATCTCTCACTGACATTTGCCCCTGTTCACATGAAACATGGGAGCATTAAAAGACAGGATTAGTAGCATAACTCCTCCAAGGCTACGTTCAGAGGTGACCTCGCCTACACATCTACTGTTTGCCCCTTTACTCCCAGGGCAGGAACACCAAACCCGCCCTAGCGATGCTAACCTTAGGTTGAGGGTCACTTCAGCACTACATTTTAACTGAAGTTTTAGGTCATAAATCCTTCCAATGCTCAGTCTAACAAGGCTACAAAGGCTACAAAACGCACATCAGAGCCCAACAGACTGGCCACTCTTTGTAGAAAATAGAAGGCAAAAAAGAAATTGCTGTTAAGATTTGAAATAGTCTTTGAATAGCAAATTCAATAGGAAAAGTAAACTAAGAAGTGCATGCCCTATACGCTCTCATTACAAACTGCCACACAAGAGCCTGCAGAATATTTAGCCATTTTTCAGTCCACTCACAGCCTACAACTGGCTTTGACGTGCAGTGGTGGTGAAGTTAGCTAATATTACTCATGTAGGCAGAGAAGCAAAGAATCAACGTAAAATTAGGAAAATACTTATCATTTGCCTTTAAAATAAGGCAACAGTTCCACCTCAACATGAGGAGAAACTGTGAGGGTGACAGAGCACTGGCACAGGCTGCCCAGGGAGGTTGTGGAGTCTTCTTCTCTGGAGACATTCAAAACCCACCTGGATGCGTTCCTGTGTGACCTACTGTAGGTGATCCTGCTCTGGCAGGGGAGTTGGACTAGATTATCTCTAGAGGTGCCTTCCAATCCCTGACATTCTGATTCTACGATTCGATAGAGAGGTAGTAAACTATGGTTTTATCACACACAGAGTAAGAGAGTATACTCTTTGTAATAAGAGTGGTATGGGAACTGTGCATACATATTTTTTTGATAGCTAAATACATGCAGAAAGTGAAGATAAGCTTTATAAAGCCAAATAGGGGATAAAGTTGTACTGAAATTCATAGCAACTCTGTGCCTTGACTTTCTAAAGAGCCTTAAAAAAAATCCTCCCTCGTTTTCTATACTCAGTCAAGAGAGTATTAATAAGATTGCAAAGTCAAGCATTCAAGAGTGAGGTAATGTCAGAAATAAGGCCTTGTGTCCAACCTTAATTTGGCCCCTTGTGAGCATGAATTATGCTACTGCCTTTAATTAGATGATCACACAATATTTTTTCCTATGCCTCATTCATAACACATGATGGATAGTGCTTGCTGAATGATGAAACCATAATTCGTTTTTTCCTTGTGGTTCAAGGTGTGGCAGCCTGCCTTATTTACTGCATGCTATATTCTTCTCTGACAACAGAACTAATGATTCCTTCACAGTTTTCTATGTGGTTTATCATTACAGCTATGACATACTCAACAAACATTACTAATTTAATTTTACTGCAGTCCTCAAGGGAAAAGCTAGAGTTTTTTCACTTAGTTTATCCATCTAGAACCTATTCTCACTGCTCAGGTTTTCACCAAAGCTTTGCTTCCTTCATATTTGCTCTAGGCAACTTTATTTGCACCAGCTTGGGGGAGGTATTAACAACATATGTAAAAAAAAGTCGGGGACTCCATTCTTGTGTGTGTCTTGGGTTGTCAGCCCTGGAGAAAGTCACGAGATCAGGGATGGTACGGAAAATGCTGTTCAGCCACAAGACGATTAATTCTCAAAATTGATAAACATTTTTTGAGAATTACCTGTGCACTATGGGGAAGTGAAGGCTTATTTTTTCCAAAACTTGGACAAAGATAGACTTTCCTTAAAAATTCAGAAGTGTTACCAACATAAATGCTATCCTTCTTCCAAAGCCCCAGTTCCACAGCAAGAGAGAGTAGAGAAAAGTTTTCCAGCCATGATTTATTTATTTTATTTTGTTTCATAGGCTTGTACTTGGAAATAGATGACTTGTTCTGACAAAAAGTTTTCCACCAAAAAAAAAGGCTCCCCCAAGAGAAATACCTTTCAGGGACGACTTCAGCCAAGATGGCTGAAATTTGGCAAGCTTACAAGTGACTTTTAGTTTAGTCATCATTCATCCATCATCTTTCTGAAGAATGATGGATTGTGTAATTCTAAAGGGAATGAACAGAGTCTAGAAGAGTGCTCCCTGGGTACACAGGCCCCCAAGTTATTTATACCATGGTTTGTACATCATAGGCTGGATTTAATGCTCTGAAATGTTTTTGACTTTAAGTACGATGATTCAAAGCTCATAGGAGGTGGAGAACTTTTTGAGATCTGAGAAGACAAATGGAGTTCAAATCTTCTCTGAATACCATAAATTTCCTCAAATCAAATGAAACCCACCACATTTCGTGTCACATATATTGATGCTGCCAATCTTAAGCTTGGTAGTCTACTTTTTTGAGGTGCTGAATATTCACAAATTCACAGATAAGAGGGATAACAATTTTAAGCGTCCCTATGCTGTACCTCTGAGAGGGAGTCTTCTTTCTCTTCTGTCAATTCAGCTATGCAATTTTGATCTCTGATGTTTTTGTTCTCTTTATATTCTTACTACATTTCCAACAGTACCTAGAATGACATGGCATTAGAAGAAAAAGTTTCAGTAGCTGCAAAACTTGCTGAGAAAGAGGAACCTTCCCATCAACAGCCAGTTTTTGAGGACTCAGCCATCCAGTGGTGCAATAAATAGAGCAGATATGTTCCGAGTGTGCTCCTGCAGAATGTGTACAGCTGTGTGGCATTTTGGGATTTCTTATTTTTATTTAAGACATTCTTTCTATCAGAATGAGTTCTTGAATTCAGTGAAGGAAACAATCCCTGTGAAATAAAAAAGCTGCAAAAACACCCTATCAGCAGAGCAAGTTCTTCAAATGACAAAAAGGTCAACAGGGTTTGTCCTTTGGGCTTGGCACCCTGGGCCACAGATGCTCAACTCTCACTGCTGCTGCTGCTGTTGGGAAGCCCAGCCAGACTCCTTGGCACATTCATTGTCCACCAGTACTTTCATGTGCTACCACAGATTTCAGAAGCAGTGACTTGAAACATTTCCTAGCTCATTAAACCTGACTGAATCCATATTTTTTCCTTCCTGAGTTTTGAAAGCCTGCTGCAAATATCAGACATCTTACCCCTTCCAGTAACAATCATCTATTACAATCAAGTCCTCGTTACCTGCAGAGAGAGTAAGCACGTTGCAGTATTACTGCGTGTACGTCGTGCACAGCTCAGGTCCTGCCAAACATGATATCCCTAAAACAGGACCACATGGCTACAGCTAATTTGCTTCCAAATTCTGCTGGTTTTGTGTGTCCTGTCCTCTCCTACTTCTGGACCATCAGAGAAGCAACTTTTTCTTTATCTGGGCACTTCTTTTAATGAACTTTGTAGTAACTTGCCTAGCTTTGGAATCTTTGCAACTCTGATCAATAAACTAAAAATAATTGAGAGGGCAGACAGATGCCCACAAAGACAGTATCCTCACAGAAGCCTTATTTTGGAAGGAAAGCAACCAAAAAAATCCACATTGTGGAACTTGTGCACTGTTTTCTATGACACTGTGTACACAAATACAAATACATTTAAAAAAATACTGTAGAGGCATGTCATGAGTTGCATGAGAAAAGCTTCCTCCAGAACCAAATTACTAATACAAACAGGTATATGTTTAACTTTAAACATTTGCTTACATGCTTCCTGAAGTATTTCTTAAATGCTCTTTCTGGTACACACTAACAGCTCAGCTCATCTATTGAAAACTTACAACTTGAAAATGCTGGATCAGGTCTTGTACTAGGAAAATAAGAAGAAAAATACTCATGTAGAAATAATATCACCTACAGCTGACATTGGAAAACCTGAAAATAAATCCATCTAGAATTTCAAGAATCAGCATGAAGAAAGAGAAACACAGGGATAATCTGATCTTTATTTAGGCCTATTTAAGAAAAGTTGCACCATATTCAGATCGTCTAACACTGCAAATAAGATATTACTGGACCGATAAAATTAACATCACCGATTTAAGGCAGCTGTTACATAGTATTACATTAATATTTCAGTCAGATTGAATTCTTCTTCAGATACATTCATGCAGTTAACTTCTACTGTATTTTTACACTGTACTTTGAAATATATAGGACTGTTACGTTTCCCCATACTAGACCTATCTGGTTAAGCTTTTCCCAAACAATACAGAGAATGGACTCATTGTTCTTCTTGGTCAAAGTGAAAAGATGTAACGATGTAACGATGTAACAACTTATTTGATGTGAGAAATTAACACTGAGAATGATGTGGAGATAAATATACATTTTATATGTGTATGTCACATGCAAGCATGGAGAAACAGGAACGGAGGTTCAAATGTTATTATTATTCTTAGCTAAAATCATTTCCCCTCCATACAAAACCCCAAAATATCGTTGCTCTGAGCAGAGGGCCTATTAAACTTCCTCTTTTCCACAAGATTCCTCCCATGCCAACCTCTGTTGGGGATGAGAAACTTCCATGGAGCCATAAACAATCCTCCATGTTGCCTCTACTGTTCAGTCCAATTTCGGCTTTTCTTTTCCTTCTTCAATACCTGAAAACATAAGAAAAACAGCTTTTAAAAATCTCTCAGTGAATAAAAATGAAGAGTTCTTCTACTGCATTAATTTTTCTTTTCCCTTTACTGCTGTTCCTTCCCCCCTACTTGCTCACATGCTCTTGCATGTGTTACCTCAGCTGCTGTGAACAGAAAGAGCATCTGCACACCTGATGGCAGTGGCTGTCCAGTAATGAACTGCACAATCCTCCCTCCCTCCAGATCATTTTCAAATCAGCCTAACCCCCTGCCGCACACTCAGCCTTTGACAGCTGCAGGGGTCTGGGAACAGTTAGTTCCCTCACCTCCTCTGCTCACCTACAAGCAATTCAAAGGAGATGTTATTATAGCTGAAGCTAAGCAGCTGACTTTATTTGAAAACAAGATTTTAAAACAGTGCTTCAGAATTCAATATTTCAATATTGGATTTTTAAATATTTGCAAGTACATCTCCGTTTTTTGAGAGCGTAAGAATGAAGAATCAATGACTGTTGACAGGGTGCCTCTCTCTTGTAACTGCCATGCCTTGCAGTAACATCATGAGGCCTGAATTGAGCGCAGGGCTCCTTAAAGACCTTATCTTTGCTGCAGGACTTGTCTCTTTTCCGTGCTGAGCAAAGTCTGGGCCGGGCAGCAGATTGTGTTTTTTCTGGCAATGAAAACACTCAGCTATTTCATATGCCTGTTCCTGGACAATGAATTACTATTGGTATCTGACAAAAGTATTGTTCTTCAGACTAAGTCCTCTCTGCCAGACATCTCAAATACAAATATTTCTTTTGGAGGTTTTCAGGCCTGCTGCATGCTGGAAAAGAAAGCCTTCCGAGGACTGAAGGCAAAAGAGAAGCAATGTTTAAGAAGGCAGAGAGGAAAATCCAGTCACAAGTAAGGTCACCTGCTAATGCATTATACACATAGGTGGTAGGTACACAAAACCCCACTTTAAAAACACAGTTAATGAATTCCAATGTGGGAAACAGCAACACCCACACGCGGTTCGAAAGCACAACTGCAGGCCTGCCTTGCCGAAGGAAGCAACACGGAAACAAACAGGTCTGCGTGTTGCCAGCAGCCCCAGTACAGCGGCCTTGGGTGTTGCTGGCAAACCAACGTAATGGAAGAGCCACAGCCGAAGGGTTTAACAACCAAAACAAGAGGTGGGGTCCAAAAGATTACAGTGGGTTTACTGCTTCAGAGCCAGTCTTGAGTCTTCCGCTTTCTGCTGGAAGGAACTTTTCCAATAGCTTTAAATGAGCTGTTTTATTTGCCTTTTTATAAGAGCCTCTCTCCTTTCTTCTGAAGCGCTCTACTGCAGATGCATCAAATAGTTTGGCACGAATGCAGATACCCTCAAAACTGTGGACAGACACTGGCTTGTACAAAGGGCAAATTTTTCCTTGCCTACTATGTTTGTGGTTTGACTTGGAAAAACTAACTGCAAATCATTTTGTCAGTAGTGAGGTTTTATTTAATGCATCTCCAGAGGAAAAGGAAAAACTCCAAACCGAAAACAATCCCTTCTTACCCCAGAAATCTTCTCATGGCAGACTACTTTGATTTGCAAGCTTACTGCTCAAAAGTCCCTTTGTATTTAATACAGTTTTGAGATACTATTTTCCCAAGTCTCACACAGTGACAGACTGGTGTTATTTTACTTCTCTGCTGATCGTGATGTGCCTGCCATACACTCTGGGTTACGTTTATGCAGAGTGTTTCAAGCACAGCAAACCAGCAGGTGACTCACGGCATTTTCTGGTTTGCAAGTGCTTGAGCCACAAAGGACTTCAGATCAATACTCTTTAACCAAATCAATGAAATGATGGAGAGGATAACAAGGCTGTGGTGAACCTTGGAAGAGGTTGGAAGAATGACCCTATTGACATTAGCTCCTCTAGGGTGGAGGGCCACAAGAACCAGGGATTTTGTTATGCATACTGTGGAATAGTGAGGGAGATTTTCCACCATTTACTTATTCATGGCCTTGGTAAGAACATGTGATTCTTCACCACATTATTATTCTTCATACGGGACTTAGGTCAACTGAAATTATTCCTTGTGGTTGCCTTTTTTTAGAAACGTCTTTCCTGAATTAAATAAGTTAAATAGCTGTGAATGTGACACCAAACTGAGGACTGAAAACCAGACTTGAACACTGTGACCAATGACCTCTGGTTCCAGAGCAAAAACCAAAAAGATGCTTTATACCCAGGTGCCAATACGAGCAAATGACAAGTAAAATTGCTTTGAGCTTCTGGCAATAGCTTCTACCTAGTACAGGAGGACTTGTTAAAAGACATTTGTGTGTGCAATGAACTACAATGTGAATTTACAGTGTATTAACCAGAGCACACCAAGTTTTCCAAAAGGGGATACAGGCTGTACATATGGCCCCAACGTGTTATCGACTCAATGACTGTAATGACAAAGTCCCCATGCATGGATTTTACTCCAGTTGTGGTTTGCCGCTGTGATGATTATAAATGTTGTTTGCTTATTTCAGAGAATTTGATAAACGTAAAATAACTTCCATAAAGGAATCTACTTTTAATCTTGTGCATGTCTTAATTTCCCTTTTCCTCTACTCAGCAATAGGTGGCCTAAGCAGGGTAGATGATGTAGAGTCTGCACAGTTATGTTTATACTGCACTACAGTGATCTTTCATTTCTATTATTTTGCACACATAAACATATTCATTTTCATTGAGTAAATTTATAGACAAAAAATACTTCATACCTGAAAATACTATAAGCATACCAGAACGATACTTTGTTCTAGCTGCATTTATTGGGTTCATCAGCTAATAACTGGGTTGTAAACCTCTCAGATAACTGGCAACAGCTCTTAAATTAGTATTGGAAGTTATAAAAAAGAATACACATTCATAGCTCATCATACTCTTCAGCAGCCATTCCATCCATCTATCTGCTTTTAAGTAAGCAAGATGTTTCAGGGGAACTTCTGTAATTCTCCTTTGTTTTAGCCAGCTTAAAACGTTGTCAACTTTCAGGGGAGCACACTTAAGTCCCAACAGTGTATTTTATGAGTTAATATTCCTAAAACAATACTCACATTTTTGAGTATCCCAGATGTAGTTGTTCAGGACCTCTCCCACCAAGTAGAATATGTTTATTATTACGGTGACAGCTGCAAAAAAGATTATTTTGACACCTGGGCTGAGGCGCTCAAGAAGTGGGTACACCCATACCCCTGTAACATGGTGAATCCAGCACACCCTGAAACAAAACAAAAATAACAAGTACTGACTTTTACAGTCCTGTTTTTCAAAAGTAGATTGAGCTAGAGGCTTAGCTAACTGTAACCTGAAAAGCAATTATTTGAAAGGACTGCGAGTTGCAACTGAACTGGAGCACCTGGATGACATCCACCCAGAACAGACATCACAAAGGATGGAACTATGACTGTTTTCCCACATTCTTACAGCTTTGTTTTGAATTTAATACAAGCTGTTGGCCATTTGTCATGTTCTGATGCAAGCAGGTATTTCCATGCTGCATTTATGTTTACAAGGAATACACATTTCTGTTTGGTGCAGCAGCAAGGAAACTGCAGCACCCTCTGTGCCAAGCAGGTTCTTTATCCAAAAAGCATTCAGGGTTCTCCAGGCACTCTTACACAGCCCACCTCTCTGCTTCCTGCAGTGTCCTTCTTTCATTTTGTACATGTTTGTGTGTTTCTGCTGCTTCCCCTCACCACACCTGGCAAGCGTGTCAGTTTTTGGGTTTGCCAGGAACATATGGTTCACCTCTTTGAGAGAAGAATTTCTTCAGCACCTGTGTTTTGGGTTGCTCCTCCTTTTCTTACCTGGTGTCACCTAGGATCTAAACATTTTCCTCCAGGTAGGATAAACATTTTTAAAGAAGAATGAATTCTGCCCAGCTCCACATTCAACATAAGGTAAAGGAAAAGGAATGACAGTGACATGCTGCTGACACAGAGATTTTTAGCCTTCAGCTCCAGTGGAGGTTGTTGGTACACTAACCCAAGAGGCAGGGCGTCAGCTGTACTGCGGTGTGTCCTGCAGAAGCACTCCGGGTACGTGGTTTCACTGTGTGTGACTGCAGCAGACACCTGTACCCTCTGGAGAGATAACTTTTGCGTTAACATCTGACAAGGTGAGTGGTGAAGTTGGAGGGAGCAGAGCAAGTCCAAACGTTCCAGCAGGTGGAAGCTATGAAAGGCAAATGCTGCCAAACAACTGAGCAAAGATCTCGGAGGCTAACCCGGAAAAGTGCTCAGCGGAGACAGGCTGGGGCCCACCAGCTGTTGAGCTCTCTTCAAGAGTGTAAATCTCTTCCTTTCTGACTGGGCAATCTGGGAGAAGCTCACAGTGAAGCACAGTGAAAGAAGACTCAACAGCTGCACAGACTATTATTGATGGGGATTTCCACATCCGTGTGATTTGCTTCACCTGCAGATACTTCTGTTTAAGGAAGATTTTTGATCACTAAATCAACAGTCATAGGTTCCTGAAGGGCAGAGACACAGAAGTCCACCCAAAACTGTTACCATAAATGCCTGTCACACAGGGCATACAAAATCCGTGTTCAGCGATTCTCCATCACCCTGGAAATGTACGTGGTTGTCATAGCTTCCCTTCTCCTTAGAAAAGCTTTTATTACAGTTGGACACTTTATGCAAGAATTTACAGTAAATTAATCTGCTTGATCTAAATGCAGATTAAAACCCCTTTCTCCAAGTGAGTTCACATACGGAAAATTATTTCTGTACTTCCCAGTTCTTTTCCACAACATTCTTCCATGCTAGAATTAACCTGACAAGACAAAGGTATCTGTGAAAAAATAAGGGTTCCTGTGTAACCCCTGGTAACAGGGGATATCATGTTCCTCTTGATCAAAGATGGTAGAAGGCAATGAGATATCCTCTACTCCCAGGTTGACTTTGCAGGGAGTACCTAGTATTGCCTAATGTTTTCCAGTTTCATTTCCTTTTATTTTATGATGATTCTGTGAAAAATAAGCTGCACGGAAAAAGCTTGGAAAAAAGCCAGTGCTGCTTCTTTACTTATTTTCTCTAGTGTGATGAAACTGCCCAGCGCTATAAAGCACCTTCACAGAGGGACTTTTCAAGGGACCTTCTAAACTGCACCAGCATAGCCAGCTTCATGAATCGAGCAACAGTGGCATTTACTAGAAGGCATTTATGGTGGAAAGAGGAAATACTTTCTACAGGCAGCCAGTGAGTCACTGAGGAGCTCCTGAATGTTCAACAATCTCTGACTAGTTCAGACTCTTTTTGTACAGCTCATGCACACTTCTCTCTGCCACCAGCACAGGAGCCCTTTCATTGCCCGATGATGCAGCTCGTGTGTTTTGTGTAGCCCTTGTACCCCTGTCCCTGGTGCAGCTGCATCGTAGGACCTCATGCTTTGAGCACAAGCAGTGGCAAGCGCCACTCACAAGACAACAGTCACAAACCCACCTGATGAGCCACCCTGATCTTCCTTAAAATGAGCTGGACCATGTCACTTGCTACATTGGGATGGAGTAATATTAGCCTTCTCTCTACCGAGCAGTGACACGCTGACTATTCCTGCACTGTCTATACCCCAAATGGGAGCAGCAAAGGGACAACTGCTGCCATGGAAACCTCACCTGATGGCCTTTCTTAGTGGGCTCGTTCCTGCTTGAATGCGAGCTATCTCGACGCTGCACAATAAAGGGCTGATCAACCGTAAGCATAAAGCTTCCACACAAGATTGCTGATTACTAATGTTAATGAATGCCTTCAACATTGCAATTCTAGCAGTCATTATTCCTGTGCAACCTCATTATTAGATAAGCACCGGGGAGCATGCATTAAGATTTACTTAGGAGTGCAAATCTAGATCCAATTTAAGACCCTGTTATTGAACAGGTATAAAAAAATGGGTCGTTTAGATAAAAATAAGCTGAGGAGAAAAAGTTTAAGCTAAAACTGGACTGGCTACTTTTATGAAGATAAAATTAACCTCCCTGTGTTTTGGTTCCATGGCAGCCCATGTAGACAGAACTGTGTGCTTTCAAAGAGGAATGTGTTACAGGTTATTGAGCTCATTTATCCACTTTTTAGAATTGGTAAGAGAAGAAGAAATTGAACTATTCACATATTGTATTAAAATTAAAATGTCTGTTAAAAAAAGTGATTTTCAGAAATTGTCAACCAGCTGGTGTAGAAAGCAGAAAAAGCTATTTGAAAACACAATATTGCTTCTTTTTAAAAAATCTGTCAAAAAATTGACTTTGTAGCTGTTTTTCACTTCTAGTATACAGTAGATGTTGTATGTCTCTCCTATTAATGAGGAAGAAATGAAAACTGTGCAGAGAAGGTACCTGTACATTTTTTTTTTGTCTGTAGATCTTTTGCTAACGAGGCAAAGTAACTATGAAAAACTGTTGGAACCTTGTGGTTTATGTGAGCTCTACCTGTCGCTTTGAGTAATGCAGCTGTTACACCGACATGTGCAAAACTTATTCCTGGCAGAAGCAAGCTCAACACATGGATATAATGGTAGACACCCATGACACCTGAAAGGTTTTGCAATAGGAAACATGTTGCAGAAAATAGTTGCTGCTTCCTGACGGCTCCTTTCAGCTGCAGGAGTCTGAATATACTTGCACAGGCATCACAGCTTGGCGGCACGTTGTGGTCTGAACTCTGAGTCTCCACCCATTTCCTAGGCTGAGTCCTTCTTGAATGTGCAGCCAAACAACAATCAGTACTACGTGTTCTGGAAACAGGAACTACTAGATGAGGGGCTGTGTAACTTTTTGCGAGCAGTGAAGGAGAGGATACAGAATAATACTGCAGGTCAGAAAATGGCTGAAGAGTTCCCAATGCTCTTCCTCCTAACAGAAAAAACACTTCAACACAACTCAGAGGCAAGAAATTAAAATCTGACAATGGAAATATCTTTCTACATGATCCCTAATTAACTTCTGGAATGCTTTATGCTGTCTTTCAGTGACACATCACTAAAATCAAGATATTAAAAACAAAGATTGGATGTATATAAGTTTCCAAGTCTTTTTAGTCCAATACTCTTCTCTGGGCGGTATCATGCAACTCTGGCAAGCATCTTAAGTCAGGGACTGTACACGCAATAAGAATGTTTACAGTTAAGCTTAAGTTCAAAGAGTACAAAGTATATAAACCATTAAGACTGAAGGATCCAAGCATCTACTTTTTGACACAGGTTTTGGAAGAAAATGTTCCTTACAGGTGATTATTCCAAAATGGGATGCTAAATCTTCTCCTGAAGCATCTGTCATCAGCCACAGCTAGATCCTGGATACATGACTACTCTCTTCTACTATGGCAGCTTCTTTCTGGTTACTTCTTGCAGCAGCAAATCCTTTCCCCAATCTTCTTCTTTAGAAGTAACTAGAAAGAAGCTGCCATGGTTCAGGTTTCCAGTGACTGGCAGAAAGGATAGCTGAATCTTTGGTCCCAAACAAATCTTAGGCCAGTTCCAGTTGTGGCTACTCTTTACCAAACAGAAGAACATGAGCATTTTCTATGCTTTTATTTTGTGATTTTTTCTACCATCATGTTCTTCCTTTTCCACAGAAAATGGGAACTTTAACCACAACTATTAAATTGTGGAATGTCTCCCAAAGGAGGTGACAGGTTTACAGCAGCTGAGTCATTCAATCCTTGAATGAACAAATCATTTGTGGTTATAGAGTAAGGACCCAACTCCGTGCTTTTAGAGGCAGGAGCACAGTGACCCACACTAAATCTGTTCTACTTATGATTTCTAATACTGATTGATGTGAGGCACATTTTCATAAATCCTTATGACATTTTTCCTTTCCTTCTTGCCCCCCCAAAAACCCACACACATAGGACAGCTTGTTCTGCATGTATTCAGAATTGTTAAGATCTCAGCCACATTAAGATGCTGGGCTTCTTATAATACCAGCCAGCCAAGCCTAAGTCACCTACACTAGGAATGTACAGGGCTTGGAAATTTTTTTAGAGACTAAAAATCAGGTTCAATAAACAGTCATCATGTAGGAAGTAACAGAAATCATCCCGTCTTGTTCCAGTTTCTTATGCTGGATTCTTCTTCATTGATCTGAGTGGTGATCAACAATAGATGGGGTCACAGGACTGTGCTACTGGTATGGAGTGGCTTTTGCAGTTAGCAGAAAAGTCCTGGAAAACTGCAGATGCAAATAAAGTCACACACAAAACATGACACGGTGCTGGCATCCTCTGGAATGAACAAAGCTTAGCAAAAATTTGTGTTTACGCACAGGTAACTAGAATGACAGAAACTCCGCCGATTTGCTGCAAGGTGTTGTCATGTTTGGAAGTAATCTACTTTGATAAATAATATTTCATTTTAAATATAGTAATGGTTGCTATGTCTTCTTGAGCTATATTTTAAGGAGCTGCAGAAGCAAGTGAGAATGTATTATCCATGCATGTCATCTGTGATTGTACTGTTGCTTTGGCTGAAACATTTGAGGATGTGGAGGTGGAGAGGAGCCAGAATGTAACAGTCCATAATGGCTATGTCAGACCTAACAGGCTGAGGATCCATGCAGCATTCTCTCACTGAAAGCACTTCTGCTCTCCCACCCTCCTTCTGGGTCAGGTACAAGCGACGCCAATCTTCTCCTGGCCTATTTCTGCTGCTTCTACTTCTTCCTACTCTTTCCTGTTATAAGCAGCTCTGGCTCCAACTTTTTTCCTCCTCCTCTGCATTGTCTCATCTATCACCCACCTCTCCATCAGCCTTCCACTCTTGATTTCAAAGCCTGTCTCTCTCCCCCTCCCAGTTCTTCCCACTTACTTGCATGATTTCAGCTTTCAAGCTGCTGACCTGTGAGCTGCACATTTCCTTACCCATTTCTTTTTTAACCCATGGTTCTAGTTCATCTCTTTTACTCGCCTCAAGGACTTGTCACTTGTTTCTTCACCAACCACTGATTCCTCTGATCTCTATTGAATTTCTGTCCCCAGTGCTCAATTCCAAGAGCATTCATTTTCCCCCCCTATATACGGACCCTCAGCACTCCCTAGCACAGCCATGCTCTGTCTCTTCTGCTCCATCAGTACCAGCCATCTTGGAAATCCTTCTGGCTTCTCAAATCCTGTCCTTTATTGATATGGCTGTCAATTCCCATGAAGCTTCATGCTCTAACTTTCCACCCCTCTCTTACGAATGTCATGGCTTTTTCCAGCAGTTCACACCTTTATCCCTTTGCCAACATCTGCTCTGTCTGATACTCCTCTCCTTGTAGGGAGGATTGCTAGTGGAAATCCTACAGCATGGCTGACGGTATCTCTTAAGTTCATTCGAAATTCTCAAGTGTACATTCCTTTCTTAGATTCTTCTAAGAAGAATTCAGCAAATTACTCCATCTAAATGTCCTCCCTCAGCAACTCTACAGAACTCTCCTAAAGTAACCTTCATGTAACCTCTCCTAAGTAACCTTCATGTCACGCTTTTCTTTCAAATGAAAGTTTAAAGGTACCTGAGGTCTTTAAATAGATTTATGAAAGAATGAAAGAATGAATCAAGGCCGAGCTTGGCAGATGTGGAGGCAGCTCCTGGTGGATTTGAGACAGCAACAAGAGAGCAGATCAAGTCTTTTGCTCCCAAACACGTAGCCCAGCAGGACTAGAGCAGTGGAGTCAGGTTCTTAGGGGCTGTTTTTTTGGCATCCTCAAGCACTCAGAAACACAAGGAACAAGAAAACCATTCTAAATGAACGTATTTGTCTCTGGTTTAGGGACATATTAGGCTCTGATATTAGTTGCCATGAGGTCATTCTTTTTACAAGGAGCAACACATTTCTGGCTCTTTTCTGTTCCTTGACAACCAACTCCATACACCCATTGGCAGTATTTTCTGGTAGTACTGGCAAGCTCTTCGGTTTTCTTAGCACCATCTAGGTTTAACAATTCAATACAAACTGTGACCTTTTGAAGCTATGCTAAATAAAGCCAATCAGCCTTTCCTATCTTATCCCATGGCCTTGATCCTGAAAGTCCATGTATGGTCTGCGACAGGCAATGTGAGTCTGTGAATGCTCTGTCTGGGCACAATTCCTGGAGAGCAAGAGAGAGCTCCCTCTCACAGAGAGCACACGAGCTGTGTGTGCCTACTCAAAAGCTCTCAAACTGCAGGGAGAGAATGCAAAAAAAAAAAACCAAACCCAGAAAGAAAAACAGAAAAAGGCTTCAAGAGAGGATGTTTCTCAGATAGATAACGTCTCTGACTAATGCTCAGGGGATATCAAGTTATTTAGCTATGTTCTTCCAACTTCACTGATTCTATTTAGAATTGCTTGCCTATCTTCTCATTTATCAAATATATATAATAAAAGCTTGCTATTCCATCATCTCTATCTTTAAACATTTTAAGACACCTTTGCTTGTATTTCACTTGAAGAACTCGATTGTTCCAATTTTCTATTCCTATTGAATACTATTTCATGCATCTACTTGGATTTTGAGAAAACCCGAGTCACCACTGGAGGTCAGATCACAGTACAATAACTCACTGACCTGTCTTTATGCACCCTTCGGAAGAAGGTCGAGAAATATCACAGCTATGCATTATCCTATATGAGTTAAAAAAATAATTGCTTTCTCCTGAAGACATCACTATGTGCCTTTTTGCCTGAGGCTGTCCTTTTCTTACAATTACAAATATTATTCTTTTTTAAGTGGGATATGTATGCTTATAAAAGCAGAATGTGACTGTTGTTCTGGGACAGAACATCCCACTTCAGCTGGATTGCTAGCATTTTATGATCATTCAGTGTGTGTGGATGTGTATGAATAATGGCTTCTCTTTCATTGGACCGAAGGGGCAAGTTGCATAGTTGAAGCAGTATGACAGTACTGCCTTGAGCCCATGTTCCTCTCTCATTAGTTTTATTTCATTTGACTGGCAGAAGAAACAGTATTATGCACCATTTTGGAAAATATCCTCTTAGCTGAGGACAGGGTGTTGTGAGGTGAGAAGAATGAATATGAGAAGTAAACAGGGGACCATGAAATGCTTGCAGAAAGGATAAAGAATATATGGTGTCAAAGGAGCACTGTAAATAAATAAAAGGTTTAGTGAAAAATAAAATGCTAGAATGACCAAAGTAAATTAACTATGTCATGTCAGTCAGGTGTTTGAATAGAAACTGCCCAAAGACTTACTTAATGTTGTGTAAAAGAAGGGTTATTTCTGTTCTCATTTGATTTTTCACAAACATTTGCATTTTTTAAAACAAACTCCAGAGTGTTTGAATTACTGGCTTATTCTGTAATCAATTTTACAGAGAGAATTTATGAAATAATAAAGAAAAAAGACAGTGTTCTATCTTTTTGTGGCCACTGAAGTACTGATGCAGGAAATCATTTGCCTATCCTCAGTTTTATTTGATAGAACAAAAACCCTAAGCAATAAAACTAAGGTCCAAGAAAAACATTTAGCCCGAAAAAAGGTTGAAAAATGTACCCTTGGAAAGACCACTGCTTACATGGGATTGTTCAACAAATTCCTGTTGTGTGAGGTTTGGCATATCCTTTCTAAAAATATAAGCATCTGAGGGAAACCAGACAAAGCCCAGGTCTTGGACCAAACGAGGCATGCAGCGTGAATCTGTTAGCGATTATATCCATAATGAAATACGTGCCCAGATTTAGCAGCACAAAACCCCCAATACAACATGAAAACACAGAGTGTATGGCCCTTACCATAAAATATAGCCCACAGCGAAGGTGCACACTGCAGCCAGCCCACAGCTCCTGCTGGGATATTGATGATGTGTTGTTCTCATCTCGATTAATACAAAGGGCAAAACTGTTGTATGCTGAAAAAAACCAAAACAATCAGGTAATACAAATAATTCCCACTGCATTTCCATGCTAGTTCTACAATAAGAAACTTGCTCACAAAATCCTGAAGAAAATTTCTTAATGGTTAGAAAGACGAGATTAAATGATCCCGTAAGCAAAGCAATAACCCAACAGATTATCATTGCTATGACGTCCGATTGTTTGAGAGAGCAGAGGAAAACTGAGTGAGCAGAATGTGCTTTTCCTTTTGTCCAGGAATCCAAGGCAGACCGTGAGTAAAAAGGGGATGTGGTGTAAGAGGACACAGGTCCCCGCCCTGTTTGGCCTTTCAGTTGCTATATCACCTCAGTTATTATCTGGTTTTCAGGGAATCTAAGCAAAAACAATGCCAAATGAATGAATAAAAATGGAAGGATTTAATACTTCTGAGAATTAGGTTTAAATCTATCTCAGTCTGAGGACTTGAAAACAGGGGACGTATTATCAAATAGTAGCCTCAATACCTCTGTTCCTCCATCTATAAGAGAGAAGCAATTATCTTCTTAAGAAAAGTGTTGTAAATCTTAATTTGCTAGTTGTGTAAAATGGTTTTACATTCCCAAATGAAACATACGAAAGCCAAAGCTGTAAAAACCATTTTCAGCCACTTGTCTTTATTTAGCTGTGAAACTCCTTATTTTGTCATTTTTCCATACACATTTCCTACACTGCCCCTTCTGAGAAGGTCTGTTCATCCAATTAATGTCAGCATCATGAAAAACTACATCTAGCCTGCCCCCAACACTCCATGTCTAGATTTCAGAGTGCTGGCAGGCATGAAAATACACATAAGCAAAGAACAAATGTGCCAGGAATAAACCCCATGATTTCTGAATACACAGCTCACCTAGGACCGGCATTATTGGCAACTCCAGAAACACACCCTGCCTTGCCACCATGAGGCCATGTTAATGCTGGTGTGTAAGGGAATTACTTCAACTGAGAGCTTGGCTCTGGGGCTTGATGTGACTGTGAACTCTCCTGCCCAGTCCACAGGGAAGTCTGCAGGTGCAAGGATTGTAAGGGCAGTCTAAACCCTAATCCAGGTTCAATCCTTCTCCATGCACTTCATCACCAACTGGAGAAGAAGGTTGTGGTTTACATTGGCCACGTTCTGCCATCAGATGCACACACACACAGTTCAGGGGGAACCCAGAGGGCCAGATTTGTAAATTTGTAATAATTAGGCTGCAAGCCCACACCGATTTTCACCAACGTGAAAACAGGACAGGCACGCAGAAGAAATATCCTTGCGTGGATAACAAGTCCAAAAGAGACGAAACATAGTGGGTTCTGAGCCTTTAACAACTGTGGAGAAGGAAGAATTGTTTGAATGGGAAATGATAAGATAATGGAAATGCTCTGGCTCAGAGATGTAACATAATTTGAATCGGATAACTGCTCAGATTTTCAAGGCATTAGTAATTAATGACTAGCATTTGGAGAATGTCAGGTGGATAATACAGCAGTTAGGGGAGCTTTCAATTTCTTCTTCTTTTAACAACTTGTTCCACCCTCATCCCTTTAAATAGTATAAATCACCATCAAGGGAATGCGAAGATGTTTTACATGTGGTTGGCAATAGAGGTACCCACTGTTAGATGAGAGGTCTGTGATCTGTGTAGGACCTTCAGAGTCCATTAACGGGGGCTGACAGCAAAGCAAGCCCTGGAGATTCATCTGTCTGTCTTGCATTCGTATGGAAAAGGTCTTCAAAAAAAGATCAGTACCTCACCCTGCATAGCCCCCAAAGCAGGGTAGCTGAAGGCTGTGCAAACGTCTCCCTGCCCTGCCTCCATAACCTCTTCAGAGAAAAAAACAGAAGACAACAAACACTATTAACTCCAAACCCCACCCTTGACATTCCTTGTATGATGCATTCTTGTGATCCAGTCACTTAGTCTTAAGTTTTCACTATCTGGATGCTGGCTATAGAGCTTGCAAACTCTGTTTCTCCACTGAAATGTTTACTGCTTTAGATACTGCTTGTTGATGTGCTCTTCACTGATGATAACTCAACAGCTTGCCAATTAAAAAGCAGTTAAAATAATTTCAGTAATCAACCCTTAATCTACAGTCCTTTTCTCCCTTCCCTCCTCCCAGTTCCTGTGGTTATATAATAAAGTAGGTCATTATTTCCCTAAATTCTCCCTCTAAAGGTAAGGGAGGGTGGGGGGAAGAGGATAATGAGCTGTATCACTAAAAAGTTTGTGTACAAAATCCTGTTAAAAGTACAGTGCAATTAAAAGTTTAAGGAGAAAATCAGAGACGTGTATCTTTAATCTTAGTCTGCTATAGAAAATGTTGATGCTAGCTGCAAACACTGCAGTTTCACAAATCCAGGGTATGAACTTCGGTTTAAAATGTTCTAATGAAACTGCCACTCTAAAAAGCTGTTTCAGATGCTTTACCCAAACTACAATCACAAGAAATTTTTCCCTTCCTACATTTCAGCCCCTCCAAAACCTTAATTTAAAAAAACATGAAACTCTGTAGACAGGGATACCTTTTGACAAACAGTGCCAATTGACACTCTGGAGCTATAAATACCAGATTTGGATGAGACTGGCACCTGGACTGAAGCCTAGTGAAGGTGAGCAAAGGTCAGTGTGCTTGGATTGGGATCCATCAGGGCTAGGAAAGCTGCAGGCAGCCAGAAATTTCATACCCTCTAACGTTTTTGCCACCTGATTTCTGAATAAACTTGGGCCAATGTGAGGCTCAGAGAGAAAATACCATTGATGCTTCTTTAACCTGCTTGTTAAAGACCACACCATGCCGATCACTGATACCCAACTGGTATCTCTGGGACTGATCCCTTTTACTTACTGGCAGGCTAGAGACACATTTCTCACCTTATTCATCAAAGAGGCCTTACTTGAGAGAAGACTAAGGAATGAGGAAGTTCAGCTAACAAGGAGGTTTAGATGGTGAGGATGATTAGCTGCTGTGACACCTTTCCAGTAGTCATTATTTTGCACCTTTTAAAGTCTTTCAGAAAAAAACAAATTTGTAATTAGAGCAGAATAACGAGTACAGCGTTATAATAGTGGTACACTATACTAGCACAAGTAATCAACACTACATTGAGAAGGCACTTTGATTATGGACTAAGTATTTACTAGCAAAGCTGCATTTTTACCTGAACATCTTAGTCTGCTCCCACTGAGACCAGCTGCTCCTGCAACACAGTTTTGGCTGTGTGACCTTGCTGACACTAGAGACTTCTGCCGAGCAATGCTGCGGGTATGTCAAGGAGCACCATCTCCGTCAGCCCTGGGGTGACCGCAGGCTCTGCTGGGGCAGCAGCGAGGGAGCTAATGAGCCCTGTCATTAGCAGGAGCTCTTAGCTTGGTCTCAGTAACTACAACTACTTTGCCAGAAAACATACCCTGTCAGCTTCTCCTGCCACGACTGCGATGCTACCTGCCAAGGTGCCCTCATAGCCAAAAAGTCCTTTTTCTCCATAGTGCCAAGGCAGGGACCCTCAGACTCATTTTCAGCTCCTCTCTGAAGGATCTATCTGCCAAGACTACCTTGTGAGTTGAAGCATGGCCGCAAGCCCCCACTACCCAGCTGCAGCACTGCCCTGCTCAGAGCCCTTGTGCCCCATCACTGCCTGTCCCTGCAGCAGGAAAAGGAGCTTTGACAGATCTTTACGCTTGCTAGGTCTGCAAGGCTCTGCAGAGCAGCAACTTGTAATCTCCTCCCCATTTTGTGTCTATCACGTGGCACCGCTTCCCAAGATCCCATCACCTACAAGCAGGGAAGGATTTTGGCTTGCTGAATCTTCAACCGTTGGTGACAATGGATGAAAACAGAGAGAAACCAGCCTAACACGTGGAGCTTGGGTAGGATCTGCAGGAAACTTATCAAATGGAGAATTTGATCCAGAAAACACTCTGGAGACTGACTCCAAAGGAGCAACCTCTAACTGAATGCTGCAAAAAAAGCTACCCTGAGACCCGCAGGCAGATTAATTCCTACCCCAACTGCCATTGCTTTCTGAGAGAAACAATACTCTTTAAAAGATATTTTTAAAACACACACCACCTCCCACATGTACCTAATGACATCTGAGATTGGAAATTCTCATTACGAATAGGTAGCACATCTGTAGTGCCGGCTTGACAAGGTGAGCTTTGATGGAGGTCTGTGCTTCCTCATTTTAGGTGTGTGTTGCAACAGGTAGTTGGTAAAAAGATTTTATGCAAATTAGGTACATTAAGAACGACTTCTCTAAATAGTCTTTAGGCAAATTAAGTGCTCATTCTTGAAAACCTGATTATATATTTTATCTTCCAACCACTAAGTGCTGCTTTTTTTAACAATGTTTTCATCAATACCTAACTTAGCCTGTTCTCCTCCCTTAACTGTGTTTTAAAGGGAATGCTGAGGCTTTTTGACAGACTTGTGTATTGGTACCTTCTGTCCTTAGCATAAACATGGCAGTACTACCTTCCCAAGTCACCAAGTCCTGAGCTGCAGAGACTCTCCAGAACTACCTTTACAACAAGGAATTCAGTCTAAAAAATCATCTACTTTCTCAGATGCTCAGTACACAGAAGTTCTGCAGGCAGGGAGAAACCATTTGGGGATCACATAAACTGTAATTCACTTCCATCAAAAGAAGACTATGACTTGTTACTCAATTTGATCAGACTAAAAACTACAGGGTGTAAGACTTTTTTTAGCTCAATGAAGTACTGTGGACCTCTGTTGAGAGAGCTTCAGCATGACATTCAGCCCACGCTCTTTAGTGTCAGTGAAAGCCCAATGACAAGCAAGGACGCCTGGCAGCTTTGATGGGAGCCTCCTGGAAGTCCTGGTGCTCCCTGGAACAAGGAGGGTGCAGATGTGTCTTCACCCACAGAACTTGCGTAGCCCGGCAACTGGAGTTCTGCATCCCTCACCCAAAGCTGCATCTGCATCGAAGCCTCTGCCCTGGCAGGGGCAGCTTCGCCAACATCTGCTG